CCAACTCAAAAAAAAAAAAAAAAAGCAAGTTCAGGACTTCATGGCTGAGAGGGGCTCAGAGACCCTGCATGCCCTCCATGTTCAGATGAGGGCTCACTCATCCCGACTCACTGCACCTCCTTTTCCCGCCTGCCCTGTGGGGCTGGTGCGCCCAGTGGTGACGTCTACACAGCACCTCAGTGCCTGGTGGCCGCCCATGCCAGGTCCACCAAGCACTTCTGGCCCTTCCGGCCCTTCCGACTCACCACCAGCTCCCCCTCGTCTCTCCTACCCATGCCACAGCTTCTGCCTACATCACTGCTGGCCTCTCCTCGGCCTGGCACTGACCACCCCCTAGCAGGAGGCCGGCATTGGGACAGGGCACTGATCTTCGACGGGGTCCGATGAGTGGACCCATTTCCTTTCAGACCCCTGATTCACTGAGCCAGCACCATGTCCCCCAAAGTGCCTGGCACGGAAGCACGGAGTGCGTGTCCAGTGAGCTCGGAACAATTTAGACATTCGGGGATTGGCAGGCAGCCACGATGAAGAATAGAGCAGCTGTGTACAGGCTGAGAGGCGCAAAACCCCAGACACACTGGTGAACACAGAACAGTGAGATACTCTGCTACTATTGATGTTTTGAAAAAGAGTACACACACGCGCGTGCGCGCGCACACACACACACATATTTGCTTGAACATGCATAGACTTTCCTTTGAGGGACATCCCAGAAACCGGTAACAGTGTTTGCCCTTAGGGAAGGTCCTGGAAGCTGGGGTCAGGAGTGAGAGGGAGAAACTGTGTGTATATACTGTGTTTCACTATGGTCTGTTTTTTTTTTTTGAGTTGGAGTCTCACTCTGTCGCCCATACTAGAGTGCTGTGATACGCTCATGGCCACCCCAGCATCGACCTGCTGGGCTCCAGTGATCCTTTCACCTCAGCCTTCCAAGTAGCCAGAACTACAGGTGCGCGCTACCGCGCCCGGCTATTTTTTTTTTAATTTTATCGTAGAGATGAGGTCTCACCAATTTGCCCGGGCTGGTCTCAAACCTGTGGGCTCAGGCAATCCACTTGCCTCAGCCTCCCAGGGGTGGGATTACAGGCTGAGCCACCAAGCCTGGCCGTGGTCTGTCTTTTAACATGAACATTCATCATCTCATTATGTCCTTAATGAAAAACAAAGCAACACAAACAAGATTTAAAAAGGAAGCCGGGCTAGGTGGCTCAGCCTGTAATCCCGCGACTTTGGGAGGCTGAGGTGAGTGGATTGCCTGAGCCCGCGGGTTCGCGACCCGCCTGGGCAGGCGAGACCTCATCTCTACAATAAATCAAAAAATCAGCCGGGCGTGGTAGCGCATGCCTGTAATTCCGACTACTCGGAAGGCTGAGACGGAAGGATCGCCGGAGCCCAGCAGGTCAAGGCTGCGGTAGCCAGGAGCGGCCACTGCACTCCAGTCTGAGCGACCAAGTTAGACTCCAACTCAAAAAAAAAAAATGAAAAAGAAAGACTTCCTAGTATCTACAGCTGTCCTCAGCTCTGACCTCCTGTTTCTATGTCCGCATAGTCTGACTTTTTAAATTATTATTATAGGCTGGGTGCAATGGCTCAGCCTGTAATCCCAGCACTTTGAGAGGCAGAGGTGAGAGGATTGCCTGAGCCCAGGGATTCGAGACCAGCCTGGGCAACTTGGGGAGACCTCATCTCTACAATAAATCAAAAAATCAGCCGGGCGTGGTAGCATGTGCCTTTAGTTCCGACTACTGGGAAGGCTGAGATGGAAGGATTCCTGGAGCCCAGCAGGTCGAGGCTGCAGGGGCCATGAGTGTGCCACTGTACTCCAGTCTGGGTAACAGAGTGCGATTCCAACTAAAATAAAATAAATTAAAATAATGAAATAAAATAAAATAAATTATTAGCGACAGGTCTCGCTCTGTGGCCCAAGCTGGAGTGCAGCGGCACAATCTTGGCTCACTGAAGCCCTCACCCTTTGGTCTCACGCAAGCTTCCCTCCTCAGCCTCCCAAGTAGCTGGGACTACAGGAGCACCACCATGCTCAGCTAATTTTTAAAATTTTTTGTAGAGACAGGGTCTTGCTATGTTGTCCAGGCTGGTTTCAAACTCCTGAGCTCAAGCAATCCTCGTGCCTTGGCCTCCCAGGGTGTTAGGATTGCAGGCATGAGCCACTGCGCCTGGCCTAGCTTATGCCTTTTAACTTCCCAAGTGCCCTGTCCTAAAGCTCTGTGGACTTGACCGGGGCTAAGAGTGAGTTGGGCTGGAAGTTTCCCAGGATCCAGGAAGCAGTTACAGTCGGGGCTGAGATTCAGAATGCAGTCCAGGCATCCTGGCCTAGCTGCACCCCTCGGCATCCCTAGCTTGGAGCCGGGGAGGAGTCGCTCCCCGCTGCATGCCCTACCTGACTTCCAGATGTCCAGGTGGGCGTGCAGTACATCCCCGCCCAGGGGCGAGCGCTGGCGGAACTGCTCCTCTGACATGGCGCACAGCTCCTTGCCCCCCAGCTCCTGGAAGGCCTTGCCCACGGGGGGCAGCCGGTACTGGTGTTCCGTCCACAGGAGCCACTTCTGCACGTTGCCAGGGCTCCAGTCCACGGGGTCTGGGCAAGAGACATTGCTCAACTCAGGGGCTGCTTGGGGCGCCACCCCCCATGTGGCCCACCTTGCTGTGACAGGGGCAGCCATGTGTGGCCCGGGACTGTGCACTTCTTGGGGTGGGGACAGGCCAGGCCTAGACACAGTCCCAAGGGGTCCTGGGGAGGTGGGTGCCCAAGAAGAGAAGAGGGTGGAAAAAGGAGTCAGGGCCCCCAAAATAAGGTGGGCGCAGGGCAGAGAAGCCTGGTGCATCTGCACCCCACCTCCCAGCCTTTCCAAAGGACTTTTCAGGGCAGCCCAGCCCTGGAGAGGAAGGGCCATTAAGCCAGAAACACCTGGGTTTCTCCCCAGATACCTCTTGCCTTCTCCAAACCCCTCAAGGAAACAGAGAGAAGCCTAACCGGGAATTAGTGTTACCCCTTCCCTGCCCCCACATATCACAGATGAGGAAAGCGAGGTGCAGAGAATGCCATCCCCTTGTCCAACAGCTGACAAAGGGCAGATGCACAGTAGCTGCCCTCCTGGCCTCTGAGGCCTGTCGCTGTCCCAGAACCACCTGTGCTGCTTCAACACGTGTGCACTGAGCTGCTGCTGAGAGCCCAGCAGGGCACACAGGTGGGGGCCGTGCTGGTGGGCACAGTCACAATGGGCCTCCGAGTGAACACGGTGAGCTCAGTCAGACCCCCAGCTGGTGACCTGCAGGCTGGGCTGTCCCCACTTAATAAATCCCTTTTTCTCCCCGAGGTCAAAACCATTTATTTCTGTCCCCATTGTTCAGAGAGCATGGCCCTCCCCAGGCCGGCACAGGGGAGGGGTCTGTGGGAGAACCTCCCGGGGTGCGGCTGGCACGGGCACTGGGAAAGCGGAGGACTGGGGCCTCGGCCAGAGCTGCCTCAATCGGGGGCACCAGCTGAGACCCCTGGGGGGCAGGGCTGGGCCTGAGGGATGCACGGAGGCCCCTCCTTGCCAGGGAAAGCCTCTCAGAGTGGGTGCTCCAGTGCTAGGGCCCGAAGCCAGGGGGAGATGGGTCAGACTTGTCCAGAGCTGGGGAGGCGGCGGCGGGACAGGGGTGGGAACCAGCAGCCCCTCGGCCCACAATGTCAGCCCTCTCACCACGCCTTCCAGGCCTGGCGGACACACACGAGCCGCCCCAGGATGTCCCTGTCTCCTCAGAGGGCTCTTCGCCACCAGACCAGGGACGCATCTGTTTGTTTATGATCTGTTTCCCTCACTGGAATGTCGGCCCTGTGAACACAAGGACTTTTGTCTTGTGTTCACCACTCAATCTCCCAGTCCTGGAACAGGGCCTGGCTTGTTGAATTTGTCCAACAACTGTTTATTGAGCATCTATTACGTTGAAGGTGCTGTCCTAGGATCTGGGTAATGTAGTGATGAACAAAACAAATGAAAATCCCTGTGCCCTTGTGGGGTCCATTCTCGTGGGGGGCACGGACAGCAAACGAGATAGCTAACACATGCAGCATGTCAGACGACAGTGAGTGCCATGAGAGGAAACAGGTAGAAAGAACAGGAGGTAGGGGCACAGGCAGGGATTCCAGTGGAGGGCTTCAGTGAGATGGCACCACCTGAAAGAGGTGCACCAGGAAGACAACTGGAGAGACGCATTCTAGGCTGCAGGACCAGCAGGTGCAAAGGTCCTGTGGTGAGTGCTGTGGGAACAGCAAAGAGGCTGGTGTGAATGAGGGGCGAGTGCAGATGAGTCTAAGAGGAGGTGGCGGGCCAGACGGCACCCACCAAGTGGGACAGTACCATAGCCTGGTTCCGTTGGGGCACAGAGATGGGTGGAAACCGCCCCCGCCCAGGCTCACAGCTGCTGAGCGTTAGCGCTGATTGCGTGTGTAGGAATGTCAGCATCCCCGGGGCTACCCAAGGCCGCGGCAGAGGTGGCCAGAGTGCAGCCCCAGCCCGCTGCAGTGACCTCGGCCCGGCCTCAGTCTCCCGCGAGGCGGGCGTGGGGAGGCCTCACCTGGGGTGATGTTGAGCAACTTGCAGGCTGTCTCGATGTCCTTGAGCACCTCGCCCACCACCATGGACTGCACCTGCTCCAGCGAGTGCTCCTCCAGCGCCAGCCCGGCCGGCACCAAGTCCAGGCCGCCCCCCGGGGCCTGGCTGTCGATGACCGGGCACTGCTCGGGCTCCTCGGGCGGCTCCCCCCGAGCACCGGCCCCAGGGCCTTTGCCCGCCCAGCTGCCGTCCTCGGGGTACAGCATGTCGAAGTAGGAGAGATAGAAGGCGGACAGGCCCTGCTCAGGCGTGGCTGGGGGGCTGGGACTCCAGTCCCGTCGCTCGGGCCCCGCCGCCCCCGCGGCCACCTTCTCCAAGCCCGTCCGCGACACGGCGTCGGGAGGCAGCAGGAGGCGGCCAGGGGGCACGCTGCTCAGGCCCGGGCTGGCGCTGCCCATGCCGCTGCTGCTCGGGCTGGCGGCTGCGTCTACAGAAATGAGAGAGGAGTCAGGTCTGCCGGCTTCCCCGTCCGCGTGGGGGCCGCTAAGCTGGTTACGGGAATGAGGGGCCCCGTGGGCAGTGGGCCGGGCCTGGGAGAGTTGAGGGCTTCCGGGTCACTGGGCAGCTAGGATGGGGCAGGGCAGACAGGCCTCCTGGCCGGGAAAGGCAGTGAGGTGGGAGTGGCAGCAGGATTGTCAAGGGGAGCACCTCGCTCCCCCAGGAGGCCGGCTGGCTGGGCGCAGCAGGTCTCGCCACAGGCAACGTGCTTAAGACAGCCTTCTCGGGGTCCTGGCCCCATTCGGTCCCCACAGTGGAAGGTCCTGTGGCCCCCACTGAGCAGATGAGCAAACTGAGGCCTGGACAAGGAGCCCTTGAAGTCCAGATGTTTCCTGCTAACCTGACCTTAATCTTTCCTGCTGTAGCCAAGCTTGCCTGCGTGCCTGGCTTCCTTCTTTCTTTTCCTTCTTTTTTTTCTTCCCTCCATCCCTTCCTTTCCTTCTTCCTGCCTTCCTCTGGGTCTCACTCTGCCCCCAGGCTGGAGTGCAGTGGCACCATCAGGGCTCACTGCAGTCTCAGCCTCCTGGGCTCCAGCCATCCTTCTGTCTCAGCCTCCCAACAGGTGTGTGGGACGACAGGTGTGTGCCACCACGCCCAGCTAGTTTTTGTGTTTTTTTGTAGAGGTCTTGCTGTGTGGCCCAGGCTGGTCGCAAACTTCTGGGCTCAAGAATCCTCCCATCTCAGCCTCCCAAAGGCACGGGATTACAGGCTGAGCCACCAAGCCCGGCTTGAAAGTGGAACTTTGGGTGAAATGGTTTTTGTTTTGTTTTTGTTTTTGTTTTTGAGTTGGAGTCTCACTCGGTCGCCCAGACTGGAGTGCAGCGGCCGCTCCCGGCCACCGCAGCCTCGGCCTGCTGGGCTCCGGCGATCCTTCCACCTCAGCCTTCCAAGTAGCCGGAACTACATAACTACCAGCCCAGCTAATTTTTGATTTATTGTAGAGAGGAGGTCTCGCCAAGTTGCCCAGGCGGGTCTCGAACCCGCGGGCTCAGGCCATCCACTCACCTCGGCCTCCCAAGGCGCGGGATGACAGGCCGAGCCACCGAGCCCGGCCTAGGCCGCCATCCTTTAAGCGGTCATCGTCATCACGGGGAAAAGAAGAGAAGAAGGAAGGCATGCCAGAGTAGGGGCTGGGGGAGAATCCCCCTCACAAGGTGGGAAGTTGGCCAGCCCTCCCCCTTCCCCGGGACATTTGGGGGCCTGAATATAGTCGCAAAGTTAACACTTGAGCCGCCACGGAGCAATGACTCACAGGCATGCATGTGTCTCCCCCACCTGGGCTGGGTTCCTGGTTCCCACCTCTAGGACCCTCCCTTGAAAGGTGCTGGCCCCAGGGCCGTCTGCTCTCCCCATAATCCCCGGAGGAGTGTGCCACTGCCTGGAAGTGTCCCCATGCCAGGCTTTCCTGGGGGCAGTGAGGCGTGGTGAGAAGGGCGGGCTCCGGGAAGCAACTGAGGCCGCGGCTCACCTGCTCACCGCAGACTCCTGCTCCTCCCTGCTGCCCGGGGCCCTCCAGGGGCCTCCATCTGCCTCGACACAGTCAGAGGCCTCGCCTCGTGGGCCCCCATGTTCCCTTCTCTGAACCCAGTATTAGGGGGCACCGTTTGGGTGAGGCGGGGACTTGAAAATGGGATTTCTGGGGGTGATTCAGAGGCCTGAGACTCAACGACAAGTCCAGACCGAGGTGGAAGATTACCAGCAGATATATGCTCCCAGCAATACCGGGAAGCACTTAGGAAGGAGGAACAGAGCAGGCCAACCTAGTAAGGGCAAGTTCATCTGTGTCCTTTCCAGGGTATTTACGTTTCGAAGCAGTGGTTCTCGAATGTGGTGCCTGGGCCAGCAGTGTCAGCACCACCCCACCTGGGAACTTGTTAGAAATTTGAATTCCAGCCGGGCTCGGTGGCTCAGCCTGTAATCCTGCACTTTGGGAGGCTGAGGTGAGTGGATTGCCTGAGTCCGCGGGTTCGAGACCCACCTGGGCAACTTGGCGAGACCTCATCTCTACAATAAATCAAAAAATTAGCCAGGTGTGGTAGCGCGCGCCTGTCGTTCCAGCTGCTTGGAAGGCTGAGGCAGAAGGATTGCCGGAGCCCAGCAGGTCGAGGCTGTGGTGGTCAGGGAGCGGCCACTGCACTCCAGTCTGGGCGACAGAGTGAGACTCCAACTCAAAAAAAAAAAGAAAAAGAAACTTGAATTCCATTGGGCACAGTGGCTCACACACATAATCCCGGCACTTTGGGAGGCCAAAGTGGGAGGATCACTTGAGGCCAGGAGTTTAAGACCAGCCTGGGCAACATAGTGAGATCTTACCTCTAAAAAAAATTAAAGAATACAAATTAACCAGACGTGGTGCACGCCTGTAGTCCCAGCTGCCCAGAAGGCTGAGTTGGAAGGATCACCTGAGACCAGGAGGTAGAGGCTGCGGTGAGCTGTGATTGTGCCACTGCACTCCAGCCTGGGCTACAGAGTGAGACCCCCCTTTCCGAAAAGAAAAAACGAGAATCCTCAGGCACGCTTCAGGGTTACTGAATCAGAAGCTCTAGGGGGAGGCCCAGCAATGATTTTTAACTGGCCCCTTGGGTGATTCTGAAGTATGTTCACATTCAAGAATCATTGCTTGTAATCCCAGCACTTTGGGAGGTCAAAGAGAGAGGAGTGCCTGAGCCCAGGGTTTCGAGACCAGCCTGGGCAACTTGGTGTGACCTTGACTCTACGATAAACCAAAAAAATTAGTCGGGTATGGAACCTGAGGTGGAAGGATTGATGGCCTGGACCCGGGCTGCAGTGGCTGTGAACTCCAGCCTGGGTGACAGAGTGGGACACAGGTGGACACAGGTGCACACAGGTGCACTGGGAAAGCCGAGGCTCGAAAAGGCATCGGGCCAGTAGAAGGGGGAGGCTTTAATCAAAGGACTAGCAGCCCCTCTAACGGTGGCACTTATTGTGCCCCACTGGGATGGGGGGGATGCAAGGGTGCTCCCTGGGCCACTTCTAGTCACCTGTGAGACTAACCTGCTCAGCCTCAGTGTGCAGCTGGCTGCCTCTGGGGGTGAGACAAGGGAGAGAACCCAGCCTGGGAGACACCTCCGGCTTCTCTCAGGCCACAGCTAGCTCATTCAACACCTCAACTCAGCCAAGGATGTTCCTTCCCCTCTGGATGGCACGACTTGGTGAGCAGGGCCCAGGTAGAGTTTCAGCTCCCTCTGCCCACCCCCTTGTGCAGTGCCCAACCTTCCCAATCTTCCATGGCAGCCTTGAAGTTTCCTGTGGTTGAGAGAATGCCAGCAAGAGGGAAGGGTGTTCCCTTTTATTTCAACTGTCCCTTTCAAGGGCTCCTTTAAGTGACAAGGAAGGAAAGGTCAGGGTAGGGTGGGGTGGGCAGAGACTGGCGGGGGGGCTGGGCTTGCGGGGGACAGAGGGCAGGCCTGGAATCCTTTCAAGTCCTTCTGTGCAAACACT